GTAAAGTAACATTCTACACATGCATAAGAATGTTACTTTACTTTTCCTTCTCTAGGGCAACGGTTTCCTCTCAACTTCTGAGATGGTTCTATAACCTATAACAAGAAGTAGTGTGCCGCAACGCTCCTCTCAAGAACATCCCAAGAATGTGTCTAGTCCATAATATATCCTCCCACCTGAGCAGTAAGTAAAACAGTACAAGAAACAGAGATTCAAAATTTCATCGGCGCAGGAGAGATGAAACAATGGTTGATTGCTTACATAACGCCTGATCTATCGCGATAAAATAAAAAAAAAAACTTGTCTTCTTCTTGAACTGATTATTCTCAGACAATAGTCTACACACAGACAATGGTTTAAGTTTGCTTGCAAAGAGTATTTTGGATAATAAACTAAAACTATAGTACACAAATCAAGAATCACGAGTTCCACATCGAGACCACCGGGAGCTCAATCCGTATACGTCTTCTGTATATTAATAATCACCCATCCTACGCATCGCTCTTCCCACGAAGCAGCAATTTAATAGATCTTTTAATTGAATTTCTTATTGAATTACAATTTAATTAGATCCGATTCCGTAATTAATGACCGTTTAGTATTGTTTCGGTTGGTCTTGATGGATGGCTGAGGCTCCCAGCAGTTAGCTGCCATATTTTTCAATTCTCGACGTGTAATCACATTGTGATTAATGGTTTGCGATCGTTGAAAGCCGGAATTGGATTGCTGCTTTGGGTTCCGTTTTGGTTATGTTTTGCATACTTGTTGGATGATTGCTTACGCTCATTGATTATTAATAACAGTTTTGAACAACAATTCATTTTATCTTTGTACTTTAATTATTACCAGCCATAGATATGATATAGCAGTTCTGCTTATGGTCTGTTGCTGGCGAATACGAATGAAAAGAGATAGCAATTACTTACTGCTAAGAAAGGCAATTATTAATAATAATACCAAATTATTTTCAGTCAAATTTAATTTTGCCATTTATTCTATAGTTATCGACGATCGGTAGATATGTGCCTATCATGAAGCAAATACAAAGTCTTTGTATTAGCTTCATGGTGCCTATGCGTGTCGCCTTGTTTAGGGTTACGTAGTTAAACAACAAGGATTCCTTATAGTTTCGCCATATTCGTCTGTCCATCCGCGGTTTTACTCGGAGACCCTAGGTGCTACAAATCTGTAATTTGGCTGAGCTATACATATTAATCATGCCTACAAAACTGTGATAAAATCTTAAAAAACATTTTTATTTTGGGTACCTCCCATATTGGTAAAAGGAGGATGAGCTTTTTCCCCGTACTATGTGGTGTCGTAGAATATGTGTCCCTTCCCTTTGCCAACGAAACACTTATTTTTAGAAATGAGAAAAGTATGTACGATAGTAGTATATATAATGAAGTTAATAGGAAAACTATCACAGCTAGTAACAAGTAAAAGTCGACCAACTTATAAAATATACTTGGAATAGTAAAAATACAATTCCATAGAAAATGAACCATCATCCTATTTTTAGTCGTTATGGCGATCAATCCGCGAACACACTTAATCATCATCATCATTACAGCTTTTTACAAGTCCACTGCTGAATAATAGGCCTTACCCAAGAAATGCCACAAAGCGTGGTTGGTACTGAGCCACTTGCATCCATCGACTTTCAGCATGTCTTACCAGGTCATCACTTCATCTAGTGGTGGGACTCCCTACACTTCGTCTACCGGTACGAGAACCTGACCTATGTGAAATATGGCCGGCCCACTGCCCCTTTAGTCTACTAATCTGTTGGGCTATGCAGGTTACTCTGGTTTTACTGCGGTGTCCTTATTGTTTAGTCTATCACGCAGAGAAACCCCGAGCATAGCCCTCTCCATAGCTCGTTGAGTGACCTTGGGGTTCCTCACACGGCTAGCAATGAGGGACCACGTCTCAGATCCATAAGGCATTACTGGCGACACGCACTAGTTGTACCTACAGTCTAATTTTGAAGTTTTGAGGTATGCCTGACGAGATGTGTCGTAATCTCCCATGAACTCAATATGGTCATATTATTTAGAAGGCCCCTTCTAAGTTCGAGTATTGTGACGGGTAACGATAGAACCCTACCTCTAAATTGTGCGTGGCCCTACACGCACTAGGCCAGTTTTTATTTGTCAAAAACATTGGCGTCTGCGCACACAACAACTTAGCAATGTTTCATCGATATTTTATGAATGGTATAGGAACGCATATTTAAGAATAAACTAACAAAAATATTCATAATTTTGTCTGAAACCTTCGCGGGCGCTGATAAAACTCACTAAAGTTTGATCCTAATTGGATAAAAAGTGTAATTATACAAATCACTCTGAAAGTGACATTTAAAGGAAGATATTAAATAAAATAGACATTGTAAGTTTCAAATTAGTATATTTAAAACAGGTATTTCTCATTAATGCAATTGAAGATATGTAAAGATGACAATTCTTAATTCCATGAATCTATAGCGAAAGTATTTTATTTCTTTGGCGTAATTATAAAGTAACAACGTCATTCCAATCATTTAAAAATTTAAAATGTTAGGTTACTACCTACGATGTTTATCAAAATCGATAATTGACATTTTATTAAAATTTCGCAAAAGGCCGCCAAGATATTTAATTAAAATATATAATACAATGGAAAATTAAGTTACATCTCCGTTAATAACAGAACTCTTATACTCAACCAAATCTAAGAAATACCCTTCGACAGCTGTTAGACTTATTGGACTAGGCATGCCAACCAAAAAATCGGTACGTACAATATTCGATTCTTAAGAAAAATCGATATCGATTCTTTAGAATTTGTAATAATTTGCAGTTTTGTTTCGATTAATACCAGAACAAATTAGAAACGGATAATTTAAAACACAAAATTTGTCAGTTTCTTCGTATTTATCACATGGCATATTATGAGGCTCTCACCTATCTCGCGGGCACCTTCGAGCAAGATGCTGCAGTGTCATCTGTCCAAATCTGTGGCACAGTTTGGTTGACATTTAACTACTTTTCATCAACGAATTTGAGGTTGTCCGAATTGGTTATATTTTTCAAAATGTTATTCTTTGCAAGACTATGACATGCTTCTCAATAATTATTTTGCATTTAAATTTTTTTTTGTATGGGAAGCTCATGCGTTTTATAATGGTTCTCAATGACACTATACTACCATTGTACAAGCCGGCATCTAATAAAATTTTTGTAACTTCGGCACAGCGGGATATTAGCCTCTTGTAAAATAGTCGTAGATAATTCGACGTAGATGCTGTTAGAAACCCAACAGCATCTACGTCGAATTGATCGATACATGTAACTGGTTTGATCTTTTTTTAGTTTTTTTTTGTGAAGGCCTGTAATTTTCAATCTACGCAACGCAACGGTGCGTTTACCAATTTCGAGTGCTTCACCGCCACGATCACGCACTTGTGTCACTGGTAAAAGGGGTTCACCGTTTTGTGACTAAAGTTCGAAATATTCGTGTAATTTCACCACCAACGCACGAGCCTGACTGTTTAAAGTGCGACTACCACAACTACGTCTTCTTTTCGACATTATGATCACTTGCTTGGTCAGTATTCAAGACAAACAGAAAATCACAAAAGTACGCACAGTAAGCTCCCAAAATGACGAGAGATTGGAATTATGTAGTGTTCTTTCAGCGCAGCATTGAATATGAGTTTTTTTTGCCTACACAAATTTACGCTACCTAAGTAAGGAATTATAAAAAAAAACTTGGTTTATTCATGATTCATATAATTTAAGCAATTTTAAAAACAAAATGTAAATAAACAAAAATAATATATTTCCAAATTATAAATTCGATCGTTTGAATATTTTTAGCGACTATTTAATATTTTAGCCGATTATACGCAAAATAATTAATTTTAATCCTTCAAACACTACGGTAAGGTACATAGCGACATATCATTGAAACAATTTCAAGCAAAAAAAGTAGACTGGTAAATTTTTTATATCTTGCTTATTTTGAAAGATTCGAACTTAAGTTAGTGATAAAGAACTATACAGGTTATAAGGATATATATATATATATATATATATATATATATATATATATATATATATATATATATATATATATATATATATAAATATATATATATATTACTTAATAATTATTGGGATTTATGTAAAAGGTTATTTTAAATCATGTGAGTACGCTTGTACAAAGTTATTGTGGAATGATTAATGTGAAACGTCAAAAGGTATTTCTTAGATTTGGTTGAGTATAAACTATTTACGAATATCTTACATCTACAATAAATAACAATAAGGCCTATAGCTGGACGGATCCGAATTAACACAATATTATTATGTTTATCGATATAAATATGCCTCAAAAATTATCTTACAAGGCGCTAAAAGTTTGTCATTATAATTTTTATGATTATAGTAGGTGAGGATAATATGGTCATCCGGTTAATATGGTCATCCGGTTAATATTGTCACTTTCTTATAACTCAAATACTACAACATGCATAGATGACTCTGTGATACGCTAATCTGTGATAGCTCTTCATCAGTCAATCAAATAATAAAAGGTCAAATTTTGTCGACGCCATTTTGACAGATGACATTATAGTGAACAGTTTAATCGATTTTAGTATTGTCTGGTAGTTAGTTTTTTCTTAAAGTTGATTTTTCGAAGTGTTCATAATTATTGCCAAAGCTTATTTGCTATTTTTCTTAATATATTAGTTATAGTATACGACTTTGTGTTTTTGTCTCATTCCTCCTCATAGTTTTAGTTTTATAGGGCAGCAAAGTTTAAGGTGACCATATTACCCGCACGTGCCTTACTACAAAACATTTTTTTCTTATTTGGAAATATTTGCATATCAATACACCAAGTAGTAAAATTTACAATAACATACAAACAGAAAAAATACGAGTCACCTTTTTTGTTTAAAAAAAATTAGCCGATCATAATAATTAATACTATTCTAATTCGAATGGAGCTCAACTAATTAGGTCTGTGTGATGTCTTTGTCTAAGCATTTCCAATCTTAACTCATGTTCTCTCGCTGCCATTCTTAACGCAGCAATGCTAGAACTCCTTCTTTCTACTTCTGGCCCAGGTTGCGTTGGAGGCGACTCGCTTCCGGGTGATATGGGAGGGGATACAGAAGGAGGATCAGGAGACTGTCTTGGGGGCGCAGCTAAACCAGCTAGAAGAGAATGAAAGGGAGGGCTAGTTGTGTAAATGGGCGCACTAAATAACGGCGGTCTTGGCAAGGGCGCTCCAAGGTACTGCGTGCTTAGAACCGGCGTTCCTCCGTACCTAAATAAAAAAAAATAGAATGTAAGCAACGGTGACAGAAAATCAAACTTTTATCTACAATAGCTGAAATACCAGCAACACATTTGTATGTTTAATATATAATTTTTTTTGGTTAGTAGTTCGAAGCCCGCATGGAACAAGTGTTTTTATACTTGGATTGCGTAATTGATTGAAGAAAATTCTACTGTGAGGATAAGGTTTTTTTTTAAAATTAATGAATTGGGTGGAACAGCTGATGGTCTCCGATAATATGAAATATTCAAACTTCTGACGGAATGTCTGCCAAGTGTGGTGATTGCCAGTTCACCGAACTATAGGAGAGACATGTCCAGCAGTGGACTACTTATGGGCTGAAGACGAACTAATTTCGCTTAAGTCCGCGAAAGCTTGCAATATAATACGATACTCAACTTAGCATACTTGATTGCTATATCCAGAATTCGAATATCACAGAATCCTATCGAATAACTTTAACTTAGAAAATCGTTTAAGTACATTAGGAAGAAAGAAAATACGCCATAATCAGAATAAACCAAGGTTTATTACTTTTTAAAATTAAAAGAAATCAATATTATAAAAGCACACAGATACCTTCATAGAGTAAGTTATTTAAAATAAAAGTTAACTTTAACATGATTATTTACCTAAACGATGCAAAGGCGTTTGTGTCGAAAGGTTTTCTAAAGCCGAAGCCCAACTGTGAAAATGGGTTAGGCATGGAGGCGACCACAGACGGCGGAGGAGCCCCGGCCGCACTCAGATACGGATTGTAGGGATGGCCTTGCGGTCCCACTTTCTCTTGCTTGCGCCATTTTGCGCGGCGGTTTTGAAACCATACCTGGAATTAATGTTATCTGTTAGGAACTAATTAATATAAAATAATATTATTACTACTAATTAATATAAAATAATATATTGAATATAAAATATCAAACTCCAACTCGACGGACGTCAATGGAAAGCTAAGCCTCTTTATTTTTCTATATTCTAATTTCAAAAATCACCATAAAAATGTTTTAAAATTATGTGGGTAATATGATTCAATGTTTAATAAATACTTTCGTTTCCAAAACCAACACTTACTGATAGTCTTTGGTTAAACCTAGGATGTACCACACTAACGGTAAAAGCGTGAAAAATCGTTGCATTTTATATCAATCCTTATATATATATATATATCGCCCCCTTACAACTAAAACCGATTATCTGACATGAACCTAACTTTATAGTATCGCAATTTAAAAGTTTGACACTATAAATAAGTATTAAAATTTAGTTGTCCTTGTGATTGAAGAGTTAATTATAAAACAAAGACAAACTGTTTTTGGATTTAAATATGAATAACTTAAAAAAAACGCACTGGAAATCACTAAAAAATACAAAAAATGCTGACAAGGGAAGACACTTAATCAGTTTTACCTGTATATCACTAATATTATTAATCTGTTATTATTTTATAAAGTATCGCAATAATTGCAAATATTGACAGTTTTTCAGATTCTCTACTGCAATAACTATAATTAAAAGAATTTTAGAATATGTAAACACTAAGAATCCGGTTCAAATGGACGATTTTGGAATACTTAGTTGGTTTTACTTGTATAAACTTTCAAATTTACGGTATGAATTCTGATTATTAGCAATAGTTTTGTACTTTTGTGTGTGTTTTAATAGAAATAATAATATCAACGCACTATTATTTACCGAAAGAAACAAGGTAAAATAATTAAAGCAGGAATTAAATCACGAAACATCTTTATTTTGCTAAGTAGAAAATTCCGACTACTTAGATATTGAAATAACCGTAGAAGAACTGTTTCTTCTCAATTTTCTGTGAAAGTACTACTCATTGTCAGATAAATTAGACTCTTCAGAAATTGCTGCTTCAGGTAAACGGTCAACAGTTCTGTTATCTGTAGCCAAAGACTGAAACCAGACATGGTACTCTTCATGTATAACACCCTTTTCGCATAGATTTAATAAATCTTTTTTTTTGGCTACAGCTATGGGCAATGGTTTTGTTGTACAGCTATTGCAAAGAAGGAAATATGAATTCACAGCTAGTCAAAGACGTTGCAGGTTCACAGACCTCTGGCTGTTTCGATTTACGCCTTGTAGCATAGCCGTAACTTTTCGATACAGTAGTTGCAGACGTATTTGGATGTGCTCCTGAGCAAGTGACATTCATTGTCTTGAAATTGGTTGACATATCGTAGTATGTATAGTATATGTTTCTATCACTTTTTAAGTATTTCATCCTTTTTATCTTAAGCCATTGAATTCTCTGACCTTCCGTGTTTGTTGTCTTGTTCAAAATTATACTGTTAGCAAATTATTTCAGGTCTTTGAATTCAGAATACGTGAACTGTTTTACGTTGTATTTGTTTTTCTTCATATTCTTGTTGCCGTTTTTATACGTGTCTTTTGATCGAGCATCTTTGAATATATTGATCCAGTCCAATAAACAATACACGTCACGATGTTTTTTCGATTCCATTGAGCTATGCAAATGAGTCGGCCTCCATGTAAGAATGGCCAGACTCCAAAAACTTGTGCTCAATAATCTGTAATTGTTTGCTCTGATCCCACAAGAGTAAAGCGGCTATGAACTGATTTCGGTTTTATCCCCCGCATCTATCGGAGAACAAACTAACCTTTGTTACATTTTCTGGAATGCAGTTTCTTAAATAATGGGCTAGAATAGTGCCAACATCCGAATTACCTTTTTTGCCATGTACTTCTGTTCATACGAAGCAATATGCTTCGTTTGGCAGCGCGCTTTCATATAAGGTTAAGTTATAAACAGTCAACTTTCTGGTAGAATAGAGAAGGCCCACCTTTAGGAATTTGTAAAATAGCTTGAAGATCAAATGTTGCTGATAAAAAGTTTAGTTCTTTTCCTGCTCTCTCCTTATCTTTGACCTTTTTAGTATTGCATGCTTGTTTCCTTTCTATGTGATCCTCATAATTTTGTACTAAGTTTGATTTTTAATTTGCGTTTGCACAATTGTATTTAGTACAGAAGAGACATTGGTCTTTCTTGGGAACGAAAAAGTCCAAGTTAAACTCCTTAGAAAAAATTCTTCTATAAGTTATTTCTGTCACCGGTTTTGTATTACGTTCTTCGTATTAATTAACATACAAAGAATACATTTTAGCTAAGGAAAGCCCAGCACTTAAGTAGTTGTGTTTCGATTGCTTCCTAGTGTAGTGACTTTCCATTGTCGGGAAAGAAGCTATATGGCTTTTGATTTCTCTATTTTTTCAGGTGGGGTTTTATTTGGGGATTCTTTACGTCCACGAGGATCATTATAGTATAAATAACAGCCAAATTGATCTGTTCGCTTCATAGCATTATTTACACTAAAAGGCGAAATACTCAAAGTATTGCAAAAAAATCTAGAACAGACGTACTTTTGTTGTCCTTCAACTACAAAAAAAAAACTTTTTGGTAAAAAAAACTTTCTGTTGTCCTTTTCCGGCCTATATAATCGGTTTTAATTGTATTCAAGTTATAAATATTAGTCTTAATATTGTCAGGTAAAAATGACTTAAGTGGGATAACAAACTGGAGCTGAATAAATTCACAGAACTGCCTTAAGGTCTCAGTATGTAGAAACCCACTAAAACTATTTACTTTGTTTTAGTTGTAATCATTGGTTAAGTTTATTCGTCAATTTTTACAGCAAAAATAAATTACAAAAGGAAACGCAGTTTTACTTGGATGATATTTAAAAAACTTTACATTACAATAGGTTAGTCGTTTTTTTATGTAGAGTTTTTGCAAATAATTGTAATTTAATAGGTTTTCACTTTCTTTATGTTCTAAACTATGCGTCGTATCGTAAAACGGCTTTTACCAGTAGCTGCAGCTTGAAATTCCCTATCGATTGGTGTTAATAACTCATTTTCACAAAATTTGTCAGATAATCGGTTTTAGTTGTAAGGGGGCGATATATATATATATATATATATATATATTGTGTCTACGAACCACAGTATTGACTAACCATCAGGTTGAATGTATATATAACCCAATTAGATATGTATATTGCCGCAACCGTGCAGTATCCACTACCCCGTATTGTCTAGTCGGTGTCGTAAGAGGCGACAGAGGAAAACTAACATAGGAGATGGGCAGTTGCATCTTTCTGACTACTGAAATAGTAAAAACCTATAGTTGCGAACCTACAACCATGGCAATATCCCTCTTTTGAATAAATCTATGGAACAGGCCTATGTTCAGCGGTGGACTTTTATAGGCTGTAATGGATGAATGGAACACGATATTTACCTAGTGGTGACTACGTGAATTCATCACCTTATTTCATCCCGTGGATCTTGTTGGATGGATAGAATTTACTAAATATATCGTTACCACATAGTTTACCTATAAAACCGCATATATTGTTTTTATTCAAATCCTGTGTAAATAATTTTAAGCTTATTAAATAATAATTAAAAAGCGTAAAGCCAAAACAAATTTAAAATTCACCACGGGAGTTCTATTGTAAGAAAAGCAGTACAAAATTTAATGATATACGTTTGGACATTTAGAAGGATAAAAAACATGAGTGAGTGTAGTAGAACACTCGGTTGGAAGGAAGTTATTTCGTAGTATATTATTATTGATAAACGTATTATATTATTGATTAACAAATACAAATAAATGAATTAATAACGTCTATTAAAATGAAGCGTCATTTAAAATAAAATAATATTTCTTTCATGGCAAGATAAAAAAAAGTGCGAGTGAGATGGCTATTATTCCATCTTGCTTCCTAATAGCTATGTCTACACCAGTGCGCTTTCAATTTTGCTTTCATGTTCATTTTGCGTTTCAATTTTTAGTTCATCTTGTGACAAGCGCTGTGCCATAAGACACATGCAGCTTATCGTCTATACCCGTGCACTTGTCGCATTCAACTCGTCTATACCTCACGCGCCTCGGTTAGGCAAACCACGAAGATTCATAATTATCTTCTGTTCCGGACCCATTCCTTTACATCGTAACTTTTTGATATTCCTTTGAGAAGTATGACCTCAAGCTCTTTATCTTGTTTTTAACCGTTTTTACAGCATAATTATATTTTTGTCTCAGAGAAATCAACGCGTCGTTTATTTTATTTTATTTTTGTAATCTTTGTGCTTGTGGTGTGTGGCACTGGATACTTGATATATTCGATAAGCATCGATAAATTCTAAATGCACGAAATGTTGCATGCGAACACGCCGGTGACGGATGAGCTTTCGCTAGAGGCTTACGCTGTTGTCGAACTAGTTTCAGCGCAATCGCTATTGCATGCGCTATGGTTGCTCAGGCATGCGTTAGTGGAAGACGCAAGATAAACAGAAAAGCACACTGGTGTAGACATAGCTTATAGCCGCCAAGGCCATCCACAGTGCCTAATAATAATTAAAAATTAATAAATTTGTGCAACCGACTTCAATATAAATTATTAAGAATAACTTGGTCAGACCTTGATAAAATTTGTATGGGACCACATGATAAGCACCAGCTTTCAAATAAAAAAAATCATCGAAATCAGTTCACCCAGAAAAAAGTTGTGAGGTAAGACACAAAAAAAACATACAGTCGAATTGAGTATCGTCTCTTTTTTGAAGTCGGTAGAAAAGGGGTCGTGACGGAAAAATCTTACACTTTTTCTCGCCTAGCCTCCATCCGCATCCGTCAAATTCGTACCGTGCGATAAGGAACTTCGTTCCAAAAAAATTGCGAATTATAATAAGGCATGAGCGCCTTGCCGCCTGGTGATTGATTATATTTTTACATCAATTTACTTGTGTTTATGTTTTTAATCTTGGCACTAAAATTAA